TTGGTGTTATCCTTCGTTTAAGTGACTTTCATTCCCCTTTATCTTCCATTTTCTTCCTACTTCTTTTTTACTTCACGTGACCTACACAGTGTGGTCTGCTAGTGCAGGGAACGTGGCAGTAGTTGATTGGCCAGAGTGTGTATCGGGTGTTTCGTTTTACATCTATCAACCCTCCAACATCTTATCATTTCCTGGATCAACGATCCGTTGAAGAAGGAACAGTCAAAGGATTTTCCTATCCTTCCAGTCCTGGTGTTTCGAGAGGTAGTGACAATGGCTGTAGGCGTCACAAACGAGTCACCTTTGATACCCCTTGTGGTCGAGGTTGCGAGTCCTAGCATGATACCACGGCAACTTAAATTCCGTACCCTGAAACCAAGCACTTACGCACGTCACCGCACAAACACATGGCGCACAAGGAGGGCGGCGCTGGTGAAGATGCTGTGTGCGCTCTGTGTCAGCAAGAGGATGATGTCTCCGGTAGCTGCAAGAAAGTGGATTGCATGAGTTGCGACGTATGCCGGCGCTGGTTCTAACAAAGCTGTGTGGGATACCATGGTGAGCCGGCATACACATGCACGCACTGCTTCGGATAAGTTAAATTTGAGGTGCGTAACGTTGCGGATCTTTAGAGCTTCAAATGACGGTAAATTGAGTGTTACCTCGTATACCTTTCCGTCTGGATTTCCCTTATAATCAGTACGTGTGAACGTTACACATTCGCAGATGGGTTGTACTTACCATGCAACCTGTACACAGACCGCAGACGTCATGCGGGTAAGGCTGAAACACTTGTACTGTCTTTTGAAACACCCGTTCAGAGATTGACTGGTCTACATTGAACGGCCTCAACCAGCATCTTGTGAAGGGTAGTCAGTCCACCCGGCCGCTTTTCGAGGCGGTCGTTAATTGTGCGAAATTCATGACGGACCGTTATAGCACTCATGTACCGACGGTGGATTGCGCTCAATCTATGACGGCTTCCGCAGTTGGACTTGCACACATTGTGATAGACAGGCGCATAAAGCTTGGTGGATTGCAGGAGCTGTTGGCGGAAATCGACGGTTGAGAAACCTGGTCCCTAGCTCAGGAGATATAAAGAGGCTAGTTACGTTCGATCATCCTTGTCTTCAACGTTTGGCTCGCATCTGGTGGGAATACGGCGTGAGAACCGAGCATCTTCCACGCGTCGTTTCTGGCACAGGAAAAGGAACTGAACCGCTCTGCACCATCATTTCACGCACCATACTGCGATGGCTCGGACACATGTTGCGCATGCCAACCTACCGACTCCCGCGACGCGTCTTGTTTGTTCACGTGGCGTGTGCATTGACCAAGATGAAGGGTGGCCCAGCGATAACTTGCTCGAGAGGAATGATGACCCTCATTTCGGGGTTGTCATCGGTTGGGTCCATCGGTGGTCATCTACAGGAGGATGCCAAGAGTTACTTTGGCGCCCACTGTCCTGCTGAAACTTGGAGCAATGACTCACTGCGTTGTTGATTTAATGGTGCCAGGTTTGTCCTCGTTATTGGTTGCGCATCTCCGGAGACTATGCTGCGATAATAACTGGTGAAGCAGTAGTGGGAATCATTCAAGGCTCTGGGGGCCGATTCACTGGGTTCCTGTTAACAGCCTTTTGTATTCCATGCTGTCGGTGTATGTATTTCGTTTGAAATGCTTGTGCCTAAATGGGTTCCGGTAATAGTTGTCCGCCTCCACATAACCTTTGCCTCCGCTGTCTAATCCGTTGCACTCCGGTACATGTATTGTCTGTCCACATGTGGCTTTGAGAATTGCTGCTCATTCGGGCTGCGTATATGGTTGATCCGCCAATAGTGGTCAGCCTACACTTAACCTTCGCCGCCGCTATCTCCTCCCTTGCACCTCCGGTAAGTGTATCGGTTGTACACCTGTGGCTTTTTGAACTGCTGTGTGTGTGCCACCTATATGGATGATACGGCACGTTTGCTCAGCCTCCACGAAACCTTTCTTTCAGAACCCCCGTCTATTTGTGGTGCCTACTTCAGTGGCCCGCCACTACTGGTCCAGCCTCCACGCAACATGGGACACAGCATACCTAGTTCGTCGCACTTTCGGTTCGTATAGCATGCGTGCACATGCGACTTTTAGGACGCGCGCATACTCCCTTCGATTGCATGATGGCCCTGACCGTCACTTCGCTTGCAGACTGATGCAGAATGCCATGCGTCTAAACATCGCCGCGTATGTTACACACCAGATGTTTGCTTGTAACCTAGTTTTTAAACAATATTACATGTTTGTACTGCCTAAGGAGTCCTTTTTCCCATGTCCGGTTCACATTGATTTTGACCTGTCACGGGAGGCTGTCGAAACCACTTCTCAGTGTTCACCCTTGCTGGGCTCCGAGCTGTAGGCACGCGCACTCAGCTAGTGGTGTACATTGCTGAATGGTTCAAACGTCCGTCACCTTTATTGCACCCGGTTTCCCAATGTCCGTCACCATTTACATCCACCGTTGCTTATCCGCTGGCACCTTTTCACGTATCAACGGCACTGCTCCTCTTCCCACATACTGCCACCGGCAAGTGATGCATCATTGATTCATAGCCACAGGTACCACTGGATTTCCACGATCATTTCTCTTTCAGAGCCCAAGTGATATGCGCCTCCGTTTGCCCCAGTACTTAACTCAGCCACTGTGCCTACACCCACGTTGATCAATAAGCACTTGTACCATTGGATTCCCATTGTCACTTCTCTTTCAGAGTCACGGAGATATGCGCCGCCCATCGTCATTCTACTTACCGCTGCCGCTGCGTCTCCTCAAACGTACAGCCTCCGTAATACGACGCATCCGTGAAACCTAGTTACAGGTATCCTTTCACTTCATTAATGACAGCCCCTCCACAGCCAAAATAACATGCGCCGCCGTCAAATTGAACCCTGCCACTGTCTGTTTTCCTAGGTCTTCGCCCCAAATGAGCATTCATCAGTGATACATGTACAAAGGTAAAGTTGCATTTCAATGGCGACGTCCCTTTCAGGGAAAAGGTTTACAAGCGCCGCCCAAAACGTCTAGGTTATCGCCGCCCTTGGTCCTCCTCCCGCCGACTAGTACCTCTATATCAGGCTTTAGTGAATGCGAGCCAAAGGTAACATCAAATTTCAATGATGACCTCCTTTTCAGCGGCATGGTACACATGTGCCGCAATCCGTCGTCCTCATTACCGCCTTTGGTCACCCTGTGACGTACGTGCATTAGTCGTCTCCTGTCATAGCACCAGATCCGGCCTTCCCTCGCTTTCCACTTTCGTCTGCATTTTACATTCCTTAGAGAACGGAGCAGCAGACCTGTTCAGGGCCACCCTCTTTCACTGTGCCTTGTCGTCCCACATCGCACAGGCAACGTGCAAAGTCTGCAATTCTTTGCGGCGGACTACAAGCTCACAAGGTTCAGTGGGTGGTTCCGTGATCTTCAGACAATATATGGGCCAACTCCTACATCCTGACATGTGACGAAACACTGCAAGCAATGCGAACAATATGTTCATCCATTAAGAACATGGCAAGTTCACCTTATGCGGTCATTTTAACGATGAGCATGCCGATGTAGCCCACATTCGTAAATCTTGTTTCCCTATTTCGCTGAGCCTTTGGCATTTTTACCTCGTAGCGCCCTCAGTTCGTCCTGTAATAATACTTGATGAACCATTTTGCAGTATTCTCGCCTGCTGGGTGACGAGCGTTCGCAATGCTGCCCACAAAGACGAGAATATTTGCATATGGTGTGAGCGTCCCTCTGCCCACCTGCTACCATCATACCCCACCTTACAAACGCAGGCGTATATCAATACAACGTCGTCATGTGCATCGTTTCCCATTCTACTGCCAATCCGTTGCTCCAAACATTCACTTCCTGCTCTGTACGTCTGGTTAATCTACCCAGCAGCGGGTTAATTTATAATTACAATGCGACACTATTAAGTAATGTAAAACCGGCCGCATCTTTAGTTAAGATTAATGAACACAGAACACTGTCTTATTTATCTATTACGGTAAGTTTTAGCGAATTCCACCTTCCCCACTTCACCGTATACAACAGATTAACTCCGGTACCCTTTCCGAGGCAATATTCTTTAAACGATTGTAAAGGGTTTATAGAACCCTTGTTTCCCCAAAAACCTCTTAAGCTCCGACATGATTAATCATCGACTTCGATGCTTACATACCATTACTTCATGCGAAATCACCTTGCGTGAATCAAAATCATTCCATTTAGCACACTCAGTAGAAAAAGGATGATGAGTACAATAACAAACAGATGCAGTCCCTACTATTCAATATAACCATCCTAGGCGCCCACTATTGTATACCACAAAACCATTTTAATTAAACGCAATTTTTTTCAGACAACACAACATCGCCGAAATCTCTCCAACCCTCCATTTTACATGTATTATGGATCAAACATGCTGGAGTACATGGATTTACACACAAACATCAAGTCACGTATGCATTTCGTACTTACGAACATACCATTATTCCTTACTACCTTATTAGCCTATATATGCATACAAATATAGGCGTAAACTTACTATATATATATATATATTTGTATAACATTTCATTTAAGAGCAGGGGACATGTTTACACAGACGTAGTCAATAATCTAACAATTAATAATGATTCTGGTCACCATTTCGATTACACGGTTACGACGTGCACAGTTAACCTCCACTGCAAACCAATCCGTACGTACAAACATATGCTATACATCGACACTCGCATATTTTGGAAAATTTACCATACATGCTGAAACTTCGTTCATTTTATGGAGACACAGCTCGGCCAGCCCTAAGCGATTTTTAGATTCTCTTCCTTTTTTAACCACTTGCATACTGTTATATATTAACTTTTCCATTATTATACAACATTGCAATTAAACATGGTATAGTACAGTTTTAGCTTGTTGGGGTTCCTGAGCTTTCGCAACAAATTACCCCAAGGAAACATACATTTAGAGAACTCAGAAACCGGTTGTCCTGATGAATAACAGCCCGCTTTCAAAATCGCGCTGTTGGCGGACGAGACGGCCCCCCAAAGAATCGAGTCACCACGTAGTACTCACAAGGTAGACTAAAAGTACAAAAATGTCAGCTAACATTTTTAGAATTTTTTATTTAATCAAGAATAAAATGGTCTTATTATACAAAATCTTACAAAAACTTTTTGTTGTTAATGCAGGTGATCTACCATAGAGTCATCTCATTGCTGTACTACAGAACACAATGCAGCTCAAGTTCAAGTTCAAGTGGGACTGGAACGATAGGATGAATCCCGTAAGTCTTCCTTCATGAGCAGGTCGTCGATCCAGGAGTTGATAGGGGAGCTCCGACTTCGTGATGGGTTTAAAAGGAAAACACCCGAAAATCACCCTGGTCCACCAATATAACGCTCACATTCCTTACTTCAGCTGTCCCTGCTATGTCAGTTAAGTGAAGTAAGAGATGAAGGAAATGCAAGTGAACGACATTATGCAATCAAACTTACCTACAGTACAGTAAAATGTTTCGCGTCCTGAGCAGCTTGTTAGAATGCGAGCGACGCCTTAACCCGTGCACCATATTCATAGCAATTCTCAGGAGTCTCTCAACTGATGTCTTGATGCGGACCCTCTGTTCCTGTGTGCGTACTAGGCGGTCACTCGACTTTTTGGCATGACATACTGATCGATCTTTTTAGCTGCACTATCATGGGAAACAGTGTTTGAATAAACACTTGAAACGAAATTTGACTATTGTCAGATTTCCTCTGCTGCAAGGTATACTGGCTCGGTTAAAGTGGTACTGGCAACCACTTCTTCGGCGCGTATGGTTAATTTTTCCGGTTGCGCCCATTTTTAATACCGTTTTGCACACTGTTTTCGTCTTATGTTTATTGCGGTGGTTTTGCTATTGTATACTTGTTTTACTCTGCACTGTTTTTCACATGAACATGGCTGTCTCGCTAAACAACGTAGCGGATGGACCCCTGTGGTTTTCGTTTGATGAACCTAGTACATCTTGCGGATAGCTTAACGGTTTAGAGCCAGTAACAAATTTATCTTGCAACATGCATTGTACTGTTTGCTGCCGCTGGTACCATAAACGTTGTGCCGGCCTACAAGCAGACCATTTCAAAATGTTCTTATCCAGCGGTCACTTCCTTTTCAGCTGTGCTGCGTGCTGCGCTCAGAGATAGACGAGCTCGGCTATCACTGGTGCTAAACTTTTAGCGCCGGTCTCAAGGTTGGCAGGTGTTGCGAACGCTATAGCCAAGCTCGCGTTGATTGACTCGCTCGATGTGAAAGTGGATTTGATATTGAACTTCCTGAGTATCGCGGTTGAAGACACTGCAATAGAGTGCAACAATGCTGACGATCCATCTGCAAGGGTTTGTCAGGCGAAGAAGAAATCGCACCTCCTACCGGACATTCGAGGTAGCATTGCTGATTCTTCTCATGAGCCTGTCAGAGTGAATAATAATAGAGTGCGGAAATACCAGAAGCCCTCTTGCGAACCCATATAATTAGTTGCCACGACATCGCGAAAGATGCAGCCTTCGGCAGTCTTAAAGTCAACGGGCGGTTGTGCACAGGAGAACCTCCCAAAGGTACTTACCGCCTCGGCTGCCACTGAACCGGCGCGGTCTGACGACGTGTTGGTAACTGCTGAATTCGACAGAAGGTCAACGGCTCCAGCTACCGTGAGCCCAAATAAGAAACGGAACAAGGTCTGCCCGTAAAACTTCCTAGGGGATTGCAGACACAGGAAATAGTATGAGGGTATGCGGGTGTTCTCCGAGCTGGCTGATTTGGCTGCAAGCGTTTCATCATCAGGCTAGACGACATCATCAGTGCAATTTATGCGGGCCACTTACAGATCCAAGTGCTTATTGATCACTTGATCCGAACGTCAGGAGTCGGTTGGTCTAAGCGAGCTGACTGTGTAGTCATCTGTCTCGTACTGTTGTCTATAGTCCGCCTCAGTGAGCTTCCTTCGTCCTGTTGATCTGGGGTGGACTATTCTTTTGACCCCCAGTGTTTCGTAAGCAGTGTCTAGATCTAAGTGCCTGTTGATCGAGTTCTTCCCCGAGTACCATGCATCGATGAACTCGTGTGCTTTTCGTCTTTTTGCCCTGCCTATGATCCTGACATTCTCCCAATCAAAGTGATGATTCTCGGCGTCCATATGTACCGACATCAGGGAGTTCGGGTCACGTCGGCGGGTGGCTAGGCTATGCTCGTTTAGCCTAGTGCCGAGCTTTCTTCCTGTCTGACCCACATAGTACTTATTACAGTTATCGTACTTGCTTCTTTTGTGCCAGTCCGTGACTTGCCATTGGAGAGGTGGACTCTGATGGTTTCTGTCGGCTTATGAGCAACTCTGATTCCGAAAGGTCGTAGCAGTCGCGCGCCTTCTCAGAGACGCCGTTGATGTGTGTTAGAGTGATTGTCCTTTTATCAGTTTCTGAGGTTTGTTCTTGTGTCGGTCGTTTTGTTGGTGTAAAACAACGTAGAAGGAAATTCCTAGGATACACATTCCGTGTAAACATTTCGAACAGATGATCTTCCTCCGCTTTTCTCAGCTGTGGGGTGCTGCAATGGGTCTGTGTTCTTTTAAATAGAGTTGTTACGCAGCTGCGCTTGTAGACTGTTGGATGATTGCTGCGATAATTCAAGGTTTGGTCTTTATGCCTCGCTTTCCGACAAACTGTTGTCTCCAGTTGTCCAGCAGCATGTATTTTCACTAAAACATCCAAGAATGGTAGCTGACAATTGCTCTCTTCTTTAGTGAAACGGCTACCAGCAAACGTGTTGTTTATTACCTGCTGTGTTTCTTCCACTTTTGAGCGGTTTAGGATGATAAAGTATCGTCCACGTGGCGTAGCCAGAGTTTAGGTTTTGCCACTGGGAGTGCGGTTTCTTTCAAGGCTCGCATCACTGCTTCGGCCAATAGTCGAGATATCGGTGAACCCATTGGCGTGCCGGGTATTTGTTCGTAGGTTTGGCCGTTGAAACAGGAAATAGTAAGACGCTGGCAATAGAGGGTAAAAGCTGGGCCATTGTTGCGTTGACGTCCTTTGCGGAGAGCGGGCTATTCCCAACACCAGTGGTGAAAACAGCTTGTGTAAGTGTCGAAACCAAGTCACGATTGTAAAACACCACGTCGTGGCGACTTTTACGGATAGCTGCGTTATATTCCGTAACCTTATTGAATCTGCGGCTGCTCTCCCAAGGGAAGGCCTTGTGCATGACGTCAAGTGGCTCAAACTGTGCGACACCAAGCTGCTTCCAAATGGCTTCCCTGAGGTCACTGTCAGAAACCTGACCAGATTGGGCTGTCCCTATCGGTACGGCAAACCCGGGACCCCAACTACTTGGCGAGGTCGTTCCTATACCGGAAGAACACAAATCGTTGCTGCGGTTTTCGTTCATACTTAAGGGTACTGGTGGCAGATAGACTGAATTCGAAGTAGTTAGCAAAGACCTCAATACTAGACGGGCGGCTAGTGAGCAAGGCTTCCGTCTGGTGTGTTTTCATGTGGTCATCCGGAAGTTATTTTCCGCCCTATCAGAACCCATCCCGATAGCGCACCACCCAGGGACGGTCGTACCGACTTCCTTGGGGTAGTACTTAGCAAAGTGCACGAGTTGGGTCTACTTGTAGACAAACCTCGTCCCGGTTCATTTGCTTTCAGTGAAACGTGGCAGTGGCTGGATATCACGGACGGGAATATATATTTACCTGACTACTCACTGCTTAGCACTGAACACACCTTTGGTCGTCGAGGCGCAGGCTCTTTACTGTATGTGAGCAGTAACTTAGGTGTGTTGAGGACCTGTACATTTCAGTCGCCGGATCAGATTGTTGAAGCCCTATTGGCTGTTTTGTGCACTTCCTCTACCCAGTTTATAGTTGTAGGGAGTTACAGGCGTCCTGGAATGTTTCCAGGTGGACAATGGATTTTATTCGCAATCAGCCTGCTAATAAGTGTTTATTTCTATGGGTTTCAACCTGCCGGAGGTCTTTTGGGCCGAACTTTCTTACAATTCGACTTCAGGAACATTCAGCGCAGACTTACGTGAGCTGGCTAGCCAAGTGCCTTTGCACCAGTCCTGGGCCTTCCCCACTGGGTATATGGACAACCAACTACCATCTACTTTAGATCTGGTTGTCGCTAATTCCGTGGAATTTATGACTGACCTTTCCTACGGTGCACCTCTAGGGTCCTGCGACCAGACACGCATATCCTTTCGTTGTGCTCGTTCAAGGCACCTACAGACCGCCGTCGAATTACTTCCGAATTTCTGTCGGGCGGACTTTAGTGCCATGCGAATTGAGGCTTCAGTTCTGAACTGTGAGCTCTCCATGGCCGACTCTGTCCATTTAGCTCGGGATAAATTTAAGGCATACCTTTCGGAGTTTGCCACGCCCTATAATCCCCTCATGAGGAAAGAGGGTTACGGGCCCAGCCTCCATGAATAGACACCACAGGTAAATACCTACAAAAGAAATGTTCTAGATGCTGGCGAATCTACCAAGCAGCTTTGTTAGCCCGTAATTAAGACAATCATTGGGAGATTAGAAACAAATATGAGCAACACTTCAGGACTGTTCGACTCGATTACGAGCAGGTTTTAACAGACTCAGCCGCAGCTACTTCCAAGATGTTTTCTGCTTACATTAAAAGACGCAGTGGTATTGCAACCAGACGGGGCCCGCGCGCAAACTGACGGTGAAAAGACTTGTGTACTTAGTGCTCAGCATACTGAGGGCTTTGCTCAGGTTTTTACCACAGGCTGTATTGGTTTCAAGGTTTGCAGAGGAACCGCGCTTAGCTGAGATTTGCATAACGGCGACACAGGTCTTCGAGCCACTGCAAGGCATTAATCCCTCTAAAGCTTCTGGTTCTGATTCAATTCACCCTAAGCTGTTGAATAAATTGGCAAATAAGCTGAGTTGTCTTTTCACCTGCGTGTTTTCATTATCGCTTGACAGATGCGTCCAACCTTCGGAATGGAACGAGGCAATTAGCTATTCGATTTTTGAGGGCGGAGCC